TTATATCCCTCAAAACATGGGTTTTCAATTTTTTTTTAAAAAAAAATCTGTTATAAAATCCTTCAATTTTCAACCAAAAAAAAAAAACACAAATGTTGAAGCACCATTGAAAACTAGTCTTCCTTCTGTTTTGATTCTAATTGTCAATAATGTGACATTAGTATAGTGATACATGATAACGTAACACCTTCATGGTAAAAAAATTGTGAAATTACATTCACTGATTCATACACAATCTAAATAGTATGCATCACATAATTTAACATCTATATATATTGCTTTTAATGAATGTCAATGTTATATTACAGTATAACATTATAAAGTGATACTATTATAAGATTTGAGAACAACCAAAACTATTTAACATTAAAAAATAATATAAAAAATAAATTTTAAATTCTGGGCTAAACCGTTAAGGTATGTTCCATGTAATATAATTTTGAATTTCAAATATGTTTAATTCCTTAAAATATGAAATCATTAATGTAATAAATCAAATCCCATAAAAAATGGGACTGTCAAACTAACATACCTTCAAATAAGGAAAAGAGTATTTTAGTGAAGAAAATATTTGGAAATATGTCAGTGAGTACTTAACTACAATACATTTCAAGTCAAAAGTACTTATCTACTAAAAATTTTAGCAAACGTATTTTTTCACAATTAAATAGTTTAAAAGGTATCTATTCACAATTTTCTGAAAAATTTATTCTAAACCCAAATTGAACGAGACTCCAAAGTCTAAAAGACTTATTTAACGACTTATTTTTTGCCTCTTCCCACCTCTCTCTTCTACACTACTTCTATCGACGGTAACAACTGAAGCATTCACAGATCCTTTGACAACCTGTAGGTAAGCTTATTCCTTTTCATCTTCCATCTTTTTTATTTTTTGGAATTTTTAAAATTCTAATCTCACTCATCTTTGATACTATATAAGCCCTAAGTCTATCTATCAAATTTTTCTTTGATTTTTTCGAGTTAAACACTATCGGTGATGCAAATTTAGACCACAAAATTCTTCTTGAAATTTCAAAGTGTAATTTGTCATTTTATTTCTTTAATTACGAGTGTCAATCGTGTCACTTTTGTTTGTGTTATTTTCATGTCATGTCACTTTCGGTACGTGTCAATATTCATATCAATAAAAATTTATTTAATTTTACAACAACTCATATAATATTATTTAAAAAATTATAAAAAATGCATAATTTTTGGTCCAAAATACTCATTAAATAAGTACTTGTTAATCATGTAACTCATTTCTAACCTTAATTTAACATATTTATTATTTGTGTCAACTAATCGTATCATTTTTGAATTTTATGTCAGGTCGGGTTCGTATAATGGGTAAAATTGACACTCCCCATCTTCAATCATCCATTTTTATGTTCTTTAGATCAAATTCATGTTAAAATAATTTACTATTTTTTTACTTAGATTTGTGGGAGAAGATAAGAGAATAAAATATTTGAGAATTCTTGAGTGGGTTTCTTTTTGTTCTCAAGTGGTATTGTATCCATAATCAATTTTTTTTAAATTACCTATTTGTGGAGAGATATGAAAGTTTTATTTATTTTATTAGATTTCATGATTTGAATGACACCAAAAAATAAGTTTTGAGATAATAAAATAATTTTTTAAAAGATTTAAGTAGATAGTTAACCTTGTCTATCAAAATACTAAGGGGGTGTTTGGCAATGACATGGTGGATTGGACTGGTTTAGATTTAAATCTCAAACCTTACCAATGAAATCCCAATAAGCTGGTTACAATGTTGGATAAAAAATTTGATATTATCCGATCTTTGATTTGGATAATAATTTATGTTATTGTGGGCCCCATTAACAAATAAACATTTTTATGGATCAAATCTCATAACTTTAATATTTAATTTACCATCTTACCCTGAAAAACTATCCAAACTTATCTCATATTGGCTTGACAATTATTGGTTACCACTTTAATATTGAATTGAAAATTTATAACTAGTTAGTTATTGTAAAAAATAAAGTTTTTGTGTGTCACTATAAAGTATAAACAAATTTTAAAAAGTTGATCACAAATATATTTGATTCACACAAAATATTATCCTAAAATTAATTAACAAAAGATATTGACAAATAAATGCAATAGCCGAAATTACATAAGTTTTAACTTTAACCAACCGTTTCCTTACAAAAATACACAAACTAAAGGCATCTTGGTTCATGTTCCGATAGACATGGCCGTATTTCATACGCAAACATCTAGATTTTTGTGTTCCATTTTAAAAAAATTTAAAAAAGTTGACCACAAATATATTTGATTTGATTGTGTCAAAATATTATAATAAATTTAGTAAACAAAGATAAAACAGAAAAAAAAATAAGAGATAGACAGAACAAAAAAAACAGTATAAAATTAACCCAAAAAAAAGAATTTCACAGCGACGAGAAAATGGAGAGAAAAGAAAAGAGAGAGAGCCCAAAAAATAAAACCGAAGATGATGGGTGTAGCTCCCATCGATAGAGAGGGAGAGAGGGAGAAAAACAAGGAGAGAAAGAGACAACAAAAAAAAAGATTAAAAAAAATTAATCTACTAAAAAGTTCGAAACGGCAAGAAAAGGGAGAGAGGGAACATATTTGGTCCATAATGACGATCGGCTACTAAAGCATAGTTTTAAAACCCGGCCCAGACATCTGGTGAAGGGACTGGATCAACGGGTCACTAGTTCAACCGTTGAATTACTAGTTGGACTAGTAATATAATAAAAAAATAATAAATAATTATAAATAGGCTAAAAAATCACAATAATTATAAAAATAACATTAAACATGTAAAGTTAAGTAGAGAAAAATCATCAAACATGTATCTAATTTCAATGATTCAATTTTCAATACAACTTGTAAAGTTAAGTAGAGAAAAATACTTCTATTGAAGTTCAAGGCTCCAAGTCTAAGTCTAACTCTTCGACAATGTATCAATTTAAACATAATCCATGTAAAATTTGCATTCTTCAAAATTCAAACTTCATACTCAAACTGTAATAAACAAGACACATGAAAACAAAACAAAGCACATGAGTATAGCATAAAGACTAAACTGAAAATAAATTATCTAACCACTGCCTAGTTCCACTTAAAAATACAAATAATACCATTACTATCAATTAACTAATCTACAACCCAATTATATATAATAAACAATAAGAATCCCAAACAACTGAACAAGCCACAAGTTCAATATCACAATTCATAACGCTCTTACCGTAATAAACAATCCACAAGTTCACAATCTTAAACAAACATAAAACACACAAATGAAAAGTATAATACAACAATCCATAAGTTACAAGTACAGATTTGGATAAACATTTTTTTGTGGTTTTTGATTTGATTCGGATTTGTTCCATGTGGGTTGTAGGATTTTATATTACAATTTCAGACTCTTCTTGAAACCCTAAATATTTTTCCCTTTTGACGGACTTATCACTTACCCAAAACAAAATAATGAACTTTTCACTATGAATCTTTTTGATGAATTTGCATTTGTTCTGTTTATTGTAGATATTCTTGGCTTTTCTTTCAAAGAAAGATGATATAAATGCAGAATTTTTTTTCCCTACAAATTACTAATTTTGGAGAATGACCACTACTCAGCTCAAATGACATGGCATATGAATTTGATACAAATTGAGAGAGAGAGGACTTGGACAATGTAACCAAAGTACCAAATAGAGGAATTGGACTGAGACATAGAAAGACAGAGAAAAAGAGGGGGTAGAGAGAGAGAGAGAGAAAGAGAAATAAATAGGGAAACTCACTGGTCACTGGACTGTAGTCGCTGCAGGTGGAACAGTGGAGGCGAGCTGGTTTGANGGGGGAGAGAGAGAGAGAGAGAGAGAAAGAGAAATAAAGAGGGAAACTCACTGGTCACTGGACTGTAGTCGCTGCAGGTGGAACAGTGGAGGCGAGCTGGTTTGAATCGTCTGATCGCTGCTACTCTAGAGGCGAGGTGGTTGAGGCGAGGCGATAGTTAGTCGGCTGTTGATCGCTACTGAGAGGTGGTCGCTGTGCGTGGTCAGTCTTTGGGTTGGTGATGGAGGAGATGTGGTGGTCGGGGCTGGTCAGTTGTTGGGTTGGTGGTGGAGGCGATGCTTTGCGATTGGAGTCTGGATTGATTAATTTAGGGCAACAAAACAACAAACAAAATGAGATAAAAAAAGGGGGAAAAAATCTCTGATTTGTACAATGAAATTAACTCGTCCGGTTTGACAAATTCGTCCGATTTTCACGGGTTCACCGATTTTTGACCGGTTCAACGAGTTTATAATGGGTTCTGTACATAAACGATTTTTTATTAAAACCGGCCCGGTTAGGGGACCAGTTCTCCGGGTTGACCCACTGGGCCGGGCTAAGCCAGGTTTTAAAACACTGTATTGAAGTGTTCTATGAATAAAATTGTTGAGGGTTAACATGATAAATTGCTCTTCAATCTTGTTGGCAAACAAAATATCCCACACCACCCCGTAGGTTTAAGATATCTAGCTTAGAGTGGATATTTAAGGTCATTAACTACGGACCGAGGAGAATAAGTCCAACGTTTATTCCATGAGGCTTTTTGCATCCAAAGTTGGGATATTGGCCCCCCGATTATTTTATATAATCCAACTTGTTTTATCTTTCTTTATCCTCATAGTTGAAGGCACAGCGTAATATAAATGATTTTGAAATAGATGTTGATAACTGTTGGATGAGTCTATTTAAGATCGTCGAATGAACTTATTGAAACGGGTCTTATTTTATATTATAAAATATATACTATATCAAACTTTTTACTTAAATTTAAAACATGATTAGGGATAATCTTATATATAACCATATATATAGCCATTATTATTTTTTTTGATCATAGGATAACCACAAACACTTACACTTAAAAAGCGTAAGGACCATGATATATAGCCATTATTTGATACAAACTTTCATGCACTTTACCTTATTGAGAAAAGCACTCAATGGCAACGCCAAAACTGGGACCGGACCAGCAAACTAAGAAACTTCAAGTCTACCTCACTCTGGTGTTGTTTCTAGCCATTCTTCTGTTGCTCCTCTTCGACACCATTGTCTCACAGCCCATCATCAAGACTCTACCTGGCTTTCCCAGAGATCTTCTGTTCAAACTTGAAACAAGGTAGGTTTTATCCGCTCTTATTTTACTCCTCTTAGACATTTCGTCAAACAGTTATCAATCACCAAGGTACTGTCCCACTAACGAACATTTTGGGTTTGAAGTTACCCCCTTAGCTACAGGCTTGGCATTGGCTTGGGGCAGCCTCACCCAAAGGCGCCCATGCTTAGCCAAACTGGGTTTCGCTTAAGGAAGCAAGTCATTTGCACAATCAGTGGGATTGTAGTCCCATGCATGGCTGGGCATATCAGCCAAGACATGGGCACGTGGGTACAACTAGGCTTGCAAGCAAAGGCTAGTCAGAGGACTCAATTTGTGGGGCAATGTTACTTGGAAGATCAAGCCATGGGTTGGGCATGGCTAGGCATGAATGCAATACAATTCGGATGCTGAGGGATCCTGACACATGCATAACATGTGAGGAAGTTGGGCATGTGCCTTGTAGTTGGTGGCAGTTCTGTGCAATTTTCTGGCAAGTGCACAGCATGTGAGATCTCTGTCAGATTCAAACAGCATGCAGGGAAGTTGGCAGACACTAATTATAACTTCCTTTGTCATCCATTCACAACAGACTTTTGGGAGCATTTGAATTATAGGCAATTGACTAGACGGTTGGGCATGTAACCGCCACCCTGAACATTATAAATAGGACGCTTGGGTCTGTAGTGCAACCAATAGAGTGTTGGGCACGTTTTTGTAAGTAGATCTGGCTAAGTGTTCATTTATGCTTTATTAAGAAAGAAAAGGTTGTGTTGTGGCCTGTAATGCTTATGTGTTCTGTGTGTGTTGCTTACTGTCCCTTCCCTGTTCTTGTGTGCATTCTAAGTGTTTGGCTGAAACTGAGTGTAGGATTTCAGTGTCATCACGAAACAGAAATTTAGTGAGAAATTTAACCCAAAATCAAAAATTTTAATTTCATGTCGATTTTCATATTCGCCGATCATGTGGAGAATTGACTGGCGGTAGTTCTCGGTGTGGCAATGTTTTGAGATGTCTCTGGTGTGGTGTTGGGTAGTGGTGGTGGTAGATATGCGTTGTGGGCTGTTTGATGAATGATGACCCTCAAAATTGAGCATTGTTATGCTTGTCAAATTATTATTTATTAAATTTTGTATGGCCTATCATTATAGGAGGTTGAATTAGTGGGTCTCACTACTCTTACTAAATATTTAATGTATATGATTTTTTTTTGTTCAACAGTTAGGATTGTTCAAGTCATTTTATGCATATCTCGATCAATTCTCTCTTCGGTCAGTCAAAAGATAGATCATCTACGTCAGGATTAGGATATTTATGAGGAGTAAATTCCTCGTAATTTGATCCCAAGGAATTGTCAAGAATCAAACTCAAGACGTCTGAGTTTACAAGTCGTCCCTATTACTACTTAAGTTACTCCGTAGAGTTAATGCATAGAATTTCACTATATCATTCGAGATTCAATATTTAGTAAACTAATTTGGAATGCATAGCTATATTAGTTCAAATTAATCCAAAAAGATAATTAATCTCTGGTATGGTGCTACGCTTGTCAAAATACTTTTACCAAAAATTTACCAGATGAACATGGATGATTAGATCGGCCCCATTAGAAAAAATTAATAGACTCGGTGATCCAATCATTCATATTTATTTGATAAATTTTTTGGTAAGCTTCATTGCTCGAGAATTAATCCTTTGGATCTGAATGGTCAAAAAGTAGTCAAATGGAATTAAAATATACAAATTTTCAAAACGTCACATTTTTTTGAGTCAAAAATAAAATCAATGTTCAAGGATAAAATTGGTACAAGCCCTAAATTTTAATTTTTTCTTGAAAAAAACTGGGTTGAATGCAAAAATACAGCTTAAAAACAAGGTGAAAAACCATAACCACATTAGTAACCGCAGAGGTGTGGCGTTGTTTTGATCAACTGCACCTCGCCGGACCAAATATTACACTTGTGGAGTGTGGCCATTCTCGGGGGTACATGTCTGTTTCTTCTAGATGTACAACGTTTTTTGGCAGATGTCTTTGAGGGTTATCTTTTCCAATTAGATATTGATTGATGTTTCTTCTAGATGTACAATGTTTTTTTGGCAGATGTCTTTGGCCATTCTCGGGGGTACATATCTGTTTCTTCTAGATGTACAACGTTTTTTGGCAGATGTCTTTGAGGGTTTTCTTTTCCAATTAGATATTGATTGATGTTTTTTCTTTTCTTTGTAGGACCTCTTAAATTCAATATTACATTGAACCCTTCAAACTCCGGGGAAAGCAAACCAACATTGGAGTTGAACCCATACTCTTGGACAAAGGTATAAAGGAGACCATTTACCACACCTCAATTTTGAAACCAAAAATAGTTGGTGATCAATAACAAAGCGCCTTCTTCTTTTCTTTTTTCTTTATTTTCCCACCTGCCGAAAACTTGATCGGAATCGAAGTTTCTTGTACCCTGCTGATTGGTTATAGCAGAATATGAATTTGTCAAGTTATGAAAAGTGATTACGACATTGTAGGTAGCCAACATAATATTTATAGATCAACCTGCTTCTCCTATGCGAAAACATTGGAAGCTTACAACAGTAGCAATACGAGATCAGGATCACTGACGTATGATTTTCTTACAAAGGTGAGAGCAACTCTTAAAATACTAAAACTGTTATATTTATTTCGATAATACTTACGGTGAATAATTGTTTCTTCATTTTGGCATATGATACAGTGGCTTGAGGATAACCCCAAGTTTCTGAACAATCCACTATACATCTGTGGTATCTCCTATATTGGCATTGTTGTTCCAATCGTTGTTCAGGAGATATACAATGATATGGTCTTGGAGATTCCTTTTATCTTCGAGCTATGTTCCATTTTTCCTTTTTATTCATTTCTGTCTAAACTTCAGTAGATAAAAATAGGGTCATGTTTGGTTTGCATATCAGAAACAATTTTTTTTTGATTTCGGAAACAATTTTTAGGAGAAAAGTTTTTTAACCAGCTATTTTTTATTTTTATTTTTTGGAAACTGAGAATAAAAAGTGGATAAATTTAAAGAAAAAGTCAAAATTATTTTTTGTATTTTTGAAAACAACATTTCTAGAATTTAGAAAACACCACTACCTCCACACGTCCACCACCGCATTTCTACTGTCACACTTTCACTATCACCACATTTCTGTTTCTATTGTTTTTTGGATTACTCATGATTTTCATTCTTTTTCCTACTTTTTTTGTTTTTGTTTTTGTTTTATATGTGTAGGTAATGAAGCGGGAAAGGAGCCAATAATGAATATTAAAGTAAATGATTATATTAAACATCTTCACTGGGCTGTGTTACTTTTTCTTCCATGCTTATCCACCATCTATTTTAATTGTGTATTCTGCACTAGCATTGAATTTAACTGTCTCCGAATCCAATTCAGGGATACATTCTTTTCAACCCCCTGACCGACAAAAATAGTGACATTAATTCGAGAGTTCCATATGCTCATCGTGTGGCACTTCTATCGGATGAACTCTATGAGGTAAGAAGTCCTTATCTAATAGGAAGTTTTGAATTTTCTTGAGCTCCAAACACCCTCATCAAAATATAACACAACTTGTTAATACAATGCGAACACAACACGAAATTACAAGATTTGGATCTTTTTTAAGTCACCCGTTTCGTAAACGGGTGAATCCGACTCAACACAATTAACAAACGAATCGAGTATAGGTGAAGCCAATTAAAAAAAATATACAACATGACTCGTTTATATATCAGTTATACACAATTCATATACGACACGAACCCGATATAATACGATTCATTAAACACAAATTAATAGACAAATAGGGTATGAGTGGAGTATTTTTTTTAACACGAATCCGTCTCACCCGTCACGAACGATTGACATACCTAACTCTAATTAGCAACAAAGAAAAATGTTAAATCAGCCAAAAGTGTTATCCCACGAGCATTCGATTTATATACGTTATGTTTTGTGGATGATTTAAGTCAGCCGAATCAAATTGCCAGGGTGTGTACATAGCGGTAGACCCCGACAACAGATTATGTGCAAGTGATCTTGAAGTAGTAAACGAGGTGATCCGCAGGAATATTCCTGATCAACTTAATTTTCATAACATGTGTTTTCATATTGAATATTTTTAGGTGTTAAAAAGATCAACCATTTGATTGCAGTGCGTCAAGAAACCTATTTTGATCAAATTTTAGAACCTATTTGTCTTACTACAATTTCAAAACCGAATTTGCTGAGAAGGTACAGAAGCTCTCTTGAGGAGAATCCCATTAATATCATCCCGTCGCTACCTCAACTTTCAGAACCATGGTGTCGAGTAATCCCCCTCGATCCCCCTCTCCCCGATATAGTTGTTGGTTTATCATCTCCAAAATTACAAAACTATTACATTAACTTGCTAATCTGTTGTTTTTTTTTTTAATAGGACAATACTTATAAAGCAGCTGCTATTTGGGCTAGTACAAAATGCTCTTCACATTCGAGAGGTACGTGTATGTAATCTAACCAGCATTTATGTTCACATTCGATTCATTTCATCAATCAATATGTTATGATCTTCAGGGGACTATAACAGAGTGGATACAATGCAATAAGAGCATACAATACTCGTTCGGTTTAAGTGAGATTGTCTTACATATTCGATGTCCCTAGTTCTGTTGACTATCATCAAAATCTTACAAATAAAAAGTGTCGAGCTTTAATAGCCAGGTAATTCTATCCCAAAACCATCTTTATTCTTGTATCTGTTGTCGTCGCGCTACAAAGTTCATCCATTAGTAACCACTAGTGGAATCCTTTCCAAAAAACATAAACTAAATGGAACTTGCAATTGAATACTAGAAATCTTAGTCATACTAATAGAATTTCATTCATATAGTGTTGCATTCCTATGGTTTGAACGAACTTCCCACATCAGATAGCCTTAGAGTATGTGTGTGTATTTATATGAACTCTGCAGCCTTCACCTTTTTAAGGGGTTAGTTGTAGTTGTCCTCTGTTAA